CTTTTACAAATGGCTGCTTCTAGGTCTGGGTAAGGAAAATTCTGAATGGACTTGGAACATTTTACAGACAATATACCTAATAAGATTTCACAAACCCCTAGGTCTATATCAAAAGAACAGGAGTCAACCTGAACAGATTTATACTGACCAAAAATGGGATTTTGAATTTCATTAAAAATAAAAATTGCCATGGATTGAGTATTAAATAATGACTTATTCCATAAATTCATAATAATCTATTTTTTTAAAAACTATATAAGCATTATGACAGTACCTCAAATTATAGTCTTAAAAGGGGCAAATAAGGAGAAAAGATTAAAAATGTATTCTACTTTTCCTGTATAAAAGGACACCATCATAGTAGATGAGAGAATGTGTTTCCTTATAATACCAAGTCAAGAAATGAAAGAGAAATGGTGGACATAAGAATATTATTATTTTGCCTTCCCCAATTAATCAATGGATCCAGAGATTGAAAATTGATGACTGTTACCTCAAAAACTAATCACATTCAGGTACTATGGAACTACTGAAGAAAGAATACATCACCACCAATAGTTTGCAAAGGGATCAAAGTTGAATACAATCAGACTTCTGAATAAGGCTGACAATTTCCAGAAAAAGCATAGGAAAGAGAACCCTGTTGAACTGCACCATGAGTGTGCCAACAACAAAATCCAGACTAAAAGAAACCACAAGTAAAATGACCCTGGTTTCTCAATAGATAAATTGTAAGGTAGGGAAAATGATAGTGAATCAAATAAAAGAGACTTAAGATAGATCAAGTTAAAATTGGCCAAGACTGCTTGTTTTAGTCAGCTTTCTTCCTGCTGTGACTAAAAGATCTGACCAAAATAATTGTAGGGGAGGAAAAGTTTATTAGAGTGCTTATAGTTTATCAGTCCATAAAAGGCTGGAGATTTGAAGCGAGAGAGAATATCATGGCAAAGTATGGTGAGAGGAAGCAGCTGATTTGGTGATCAAAAGAAAGCAGAGAAAGAAAACAACATTCTCCAAATGATTAATAAAGAGATTAAATGATAAAAAAATGATTAATAAAGAGATCTGTTTTGCCATTTGTTGGCTTTGTCATGTATACCCATACATGTATACCCCATGTATACCCCATAGCCATGCCCGAAATAAACCATTTCTTCCAGCCACACCCCACCTGCCTCCAGTTACCACTCAGTTAATCACATCAGGGATTAGATTAAGGCTATAACCCTATCATTTCTCCTCCAAAACTTCAGCATTTTTTATCTTGCTGTCATCAGGATAGAGCACATAGAAACATGCTGGATGGCTGGCAATGTTCTGAGTAGTACTTGTGAAGATGATCTCTTTAAAATATTTCACAAGCTTCACCCTTGTTTTCTGCATTCTATTTCATAATAAAAAGGTAAAAATCAAAACAAAAGCCCTTAGACAATAATATCCCACTTCACAAATTGGAAGAACATTCAATAGTTAGAAGTACATTAGCGATCACCTTGTCCCTGTCTATCCCTAAGGCAAAAATTCCTTCTGTAGCTGCTACTGGACGTGTGGTAGAAGGACCAGTGGCCTTGACATCCCCTGGAAACTAATTAGAAATGCAGCATTTCAGTCCCCATACCAGACCTACTGACATGGAATCTGCATTTTAACAAGATTCCCAAGAGGTCCACGTGTATGTTAAAATTTGAGAATCTTCAACATATTGATGGTTATTCGAGAACTTCCAATTATATTATACTTTATATTTCCCTAATCATTTTTCCAAGTCTTTAGTTATTAAGCTTTTGTTCTTATTAGTGAACTGAATACTTGCTTTTTATAATTTCCTCCATATAAGTACCCTCATATTTTTTATATACCTACTGCATAAAGCTGGCCTTTTCTACATACTATGCTTCTATATTTCAAAACAGTCTCCTATTCTACAAGCTAGGCATTACAGGTTGTTTCATATACTCCTTGTAGGGCTCAATTCCCAGACTTTTCCCACAATCACACTATATTTCAGTGAATGTATGATATCCTTCCTAAAATGGCTGTCAAATTGTGTAACCTGTCTCACATTGCCCAGCACGCAATGTTATGCAGGAAGAAGTCAATATTCTGCATTATTATAAAACAAGAACTAATATTTAATATGTTCAGTTTAGAATAGAAATAAACAAAAAGCCCCAAATGACAAAGCCAACAAATGGCAAAACAGATCTCTTTATTAATCACGATCTGCGCACTCCATTTTTTTCAATGAATTTATTTCTTCTGTATCTTTTCGATATGACAAACCTAGAGATAATTTAAAATTCAAGAATATTTTGCATATGAACTTTTGCCAAGTGTGGATTCCCCACTTCTTGACACATGTGATTGACTTTGATTGCTGAAATGTAACCTTCTACAATTATTCATGCTAAATCACATCTTACTGTGTACATAAGGTTTTCTTCCTTATCAAGACATAGTCAATCATCCATCAATTATGTTGTCAGTGGGAATCCTACCTTTGTCCTTTTTGAAGTTTAATGCTGAGAGTTCTGAATGTAAACTTAGGGTAATATTTGGAATCCACATCTCAGCAGAGATAAGTACAATAGCACATGAAATTTGTAAATTTATTAGTTTTTTGAGTATTTATTGAATATCTAGCTTTTCAGTTTATGTCTCATTTCTAATAAATAATTGTATCTGTTAACTAAGCTTTTATCTAAAATTCAATAGAGTTAATGACAAGAATAGCAAATAAACTCTCTAGTCCAAGGAAGGGCATCCAATTTATTGAATAATTATTGCATGTAAGACACTACATATATCGAGATTAATAAAATGTAATCTTTGTGTTAAAGAGCTCACAGCCTAGCTAGTGGGAAAACCACATGAATAAATACAAATATACAGTTATTCATGAGTAAATATTATTTCATGTTCAAATGCAATTGTAATACAAAGAGGGTAGAGCTCATTTAGCATAGAGGCTAAAGACTACTGGGTTCTAAAAACTACTGATTGGTAGTCCAAGTAGTTTAATACAATAGCCTGTTTTAGAAAAGAAGCAGAATTTGGCTACAATGACATGGAAGAGTACAAAGTATCCAAGAGGAGCTGAATTTGAAATAACCACTTTTTGTTGTTGTTTTTGGTGGTGGTGGTGGTGGTGGTGGCTTTTGGGCCATAGGCTTCAGTTTTCACATCAGCAAAAGAGATGATAAAGCCTAGAAGGTTTTTTCTGGTTGTGGAAATTAGACTTAATGCACCCATTATGGTATTTGACACAAGGGTAGATCTGGCCAGTAATAACAATAAGCAAATGAAAAAGGCAAATAATTTTTTCAAGAAACAGGAAGGAAGAGGGGAATTTACCTGAGTCAGAGTCCAGCAATGATTTTGAAATCACAGATTTCATGAAAGTCTTAGAAATTGGTGTCTGTTTCAGGGATGACTTATAAGAGTTACAATTTAAATAGCCACTTTGTGAGAAAAAAAGATGCTGCACTGTTCTTAACTGGTCATTCAGACTTATTAGAGACCTCTGGAGAGGTGAGAAGAGGTTAGGACACCGCTACATGAAGCAGCAATTGGTTTCTCTCAGGTAGACGACAAAACCTTAGGAGGTCACAGGAGTTATAGTACTTTCCACTAAGCCCCTCTGGTTGTTACTCTCTGAGTAAGCACTTTGCTTTGCCTCATTGTGGAATGGAAATGAGATCATTAAGAATGTAGGAATATAGGCTCCTAAAATAATAAAAATAGGCGGCCTTCTAAATCAGCTTTATATTCAGCTCAATTAAATAAAAGGCAAGCATTTGTGTCATCCAAAGCTTTGCTCTAGAAATACTGCTGCAATTTTCTATGTTGCTTGTCCAATGTGAGCATTCCAATGTGTTAATAAACTTGCAATTTGACATGCTGATAGTGTCTCCCATAAATGAGATTTAAAATGTTTATAAAAGGGAGTTTTAGAGGAGGAGCCTCATACAGGCTGCTTTTGCTTAGCTCAAGCATTAATGAAAACAATAGTAATTCAAGCCAAAAGATCAAAAACTAATTGCCTGGCAATTGTCAAGCTTCATGGGGATGCTGAAAATATTACAGAATTTAAAACTGCTGAAAAAAAAGCGCAATTGTTTAGGTTGATTTAAAACTATGCCAATAAGCCCAATAAAATAAAAACCATCTCTCACCCTCATTAACTCCACAGTCATTAATTTAAATTTGCTGCTCCTTTGCTTTTCGCTTAGGTTTTTTTTAAAGAACTTCTCTTCGAAAATAGATCAGACCAATACTGATAAAATGTTAAAGAGAAACAGAATTCACAACCGATGCACAAAAAACAGCTGTGTAATTAACTTAAATTTAGAACATTTTATAAATCTCTTGGTTGAAGTAGACCAAATTATATACCATTCTTCATAAAGCACCAAATAGTTCTTTTCAAGGCTAAATTTGGTAGATTTTCACTAATTCCTATTGCCTAGGCTGTCTGAACATAGTGCCTAGAAACTTCTTAAAATCATCCAGGAATACTACTGATATGTTACTATTTTTCATTATTAAGTATTAATTTCAAAATTAATAATTATTAATTATGAAGTTTTAGTATATATCAATACAAAACAAGACTGATTTTTTTATCATGCAGCAATTAAACAGTCAATGATTTAGAGTATTTTCTTATTATTGAAGTTTATGTAGTTTTTTATTATTGTCAACATAATTTCACATGCACTTTATTTTTTAGAATGACCATTCAGCAGAAGAACATGTTAAACAATACTGAGATACAATTATGGTTATCTAGACGAGAAGTGATGCTAAAAGATAAAAAAAAAAAAATCTGGCTTTCTTTAGCAATAATTACACTTACAAATTGCAAAAATAAATGCAAAAGAGAAAGATAAATTAATTATATTTTGCTACATAATAAATTGCCAGAATTTATAGTATAAAACAATAACCAATCATTATTTATTATTATTATTATTATTAGTAGTAGTAGTAGTAGTAGTAGTAGTAGTAGTAGTAGTATCTCATGTGGTTTCAGGGATTAATGGGTTCAACTAAAGAGCCTACCTTGGGATCTATTATGCTGCAGCAATAGGACAGTGGCAGGAGCTAAAGAAATAAGACATGTATTTTCTTAAGTTAATAACTAATCATTCTTGACTAAAGAAAACAGAAACTCTAAGTCTTCACTTTTCAAAATCAAATAAAAATAATGGAATGTTTTTTTCTTGACATAGGAAGTTGCTAATTGCACTATACCTCTATATAACAAGGAAAACGTACACAAAGTCAGGTTTGCCGTATTCAAGAGAAGTTGTATGGACAGATTCTGCTTCAGTCTTTTTATTGAAAGTCTAATTCCCTGCATTGTATGCAGTAAGCAACATGCACTCTGCAATTCTGAGGCAATGAGATGTATTTTTGATCGCAGAAAGGATGACAGGAGGCACCCCTTGCCTGTCCAGAACCACCATCAAGGCTACTAGCTACTACTTAGAACAGTTTCCAGCTTCCCTGAGGTCATGAGTTCTAAAATGACCAGTTCATGAATATCAGTGCTGGCATTTGATAAAGTCTGTGTTCTCCCCCAGCCCAGATCCTTGGTTCTGCATGTTGACAGAATCTAGTAATATAATTCTATGATTTGAAATTTCATGTATTAAAAACTCAATCCATAAATTCATATGTTAATGATTTGGAGGTGACAGGCTATGAGGCTCTGCTGTCATGAATGCATGAATCTGTTCATGGATTAATTAATGAAATAGTCATCATAGATGTTGTTGCTGTGTTATAAAAATCAAGCTCTCTAGAAAACTTAATTCTGTTCCATCATGCAATACCTTCTTCTGCCACGTTATAATGCAGCAAGACATCTGCTAGATGCTGAACAGATGTTGATGCCATGCTTTTGGACTTTCAACCTATAGATCCATGAGCTGAATAAACCTCCATTCTTTATAAATTACTCAGTCTGCAGTACTCAGTTATAGCAACAGAAAACAGACTGAAACATACAGACTATTAAAGTAGACAGGCCCACAATGAAAAATGATGTAGATTTCATAAAGATGATCCTTTGAGAATTTAATTCCAGAAGATGAAAGCAATGAGACCATCAGAATTGAGAATAATAGGGAACTTTGAATCCATTATCTTGTTTCTCAAAATTCCTTCTGAATGGATAACCAAAAAAAACAATTAAATCTTTCTTAATATGTACATGACTAAGGGCCTTATTGCACAGGTAAGGATTAAACTAGAGCTAACATGGTTTGAGGAGGCATGATCTTTTGACTAAAACAAAAGCTATTGGAGCTAGTGAAATAAGTCCTGCAAGTTTCCACAGGGAAAGTGTACTCTGAGTTTGTTTTGACTGTAGGAAAACGTAAGAACAAGAAAGTGTGCAGAGATTCACAGTCTAAAGAATGGTATCCAATAACTGAAGGCTGAGGAATGAAATATCCATTTGAGGATGGCAAGGTCATCAGGGAGAGATGATAATATAAGGTGTACGGTAGGACCAATGACTCAGGCTATTTTGATTGATCAACTCTATATAAAATGATCTGACATTGAAAGACAATCCATTGATATTTATATTTGATTAGCATGAACATAAAACTTCAGTAATAGCAATTGCAGATTTCTTTCTATACCTGAATAGTGATTTCTGAATGCCAATTCAGTTTCATCAACTAAACCTGCACATTTTCTTACAAATTCAGATTTCTAGACCCCCATCTCTAGAGATTTAGATTTAATTGGTCTGATTTAGGGCCTGTAAATCTGTATTTACAAGTTCTCTATTACTAATGTATAACTATACTTCAGAACTAATAATATGTACAACAAGGCACTAGTCAACTACAAAACATCTATCCAACAGGAATTTATTCCAGACACTAGTATAAGACAACTTCAAACTACATGGATGATGTTCATCAGATTCATTGACTTTGCCTAAGGACCTACCATTAGTACATCCCAGCAATAAGGCTTGATGAATTGCTGATAGCAGGCCCGCCCTGGCCCCTGGGGACTCAACCCCCAGTTCTTTGTTATGCATGTCAATGTGGCCAGCTCACAAGGCCATGACGCGGGCTTGCGGTTCCCTGTTTATCTGCCTCCCACATATGTGTCTCTCGGGAACATCTTGACCTGTTCGAGCCTCCTGATAGGGGACGGTGACGTGAAGGTAACCCAAGGACGCAGTTATTACTCTCCCCTCCTCACTTTTGAGTAATTTCCCGCAGCTGTTAAAAAGATATATAAGGGGAACAAATCTGGCAATAAAGCGCACACACGCTCCCTCCTGGATGAAGAACCTTGGTGTCCTGTGTATTTTTTAACCCCGACGTCCCTCGCCGGACTCGGCTCCGTTAGCCGGACGCGGCAATGAATGAATGAAAAACCACTGCATTGTTTTAACTAATATTTAATTTCCAAATAACCATCTTGTACTGCCCAAAAAGAAATCAAGAAATGGTATTTTTATTCATTATTTTATCAAAAAACAAATATTAATTGAAATTTTATAGAAAAGTAGACTTGATATGTTATGCTAATGATACAGTATCTGCATGCTCCATGGTTATAGCTCCTAAACAGGGTTTAATTCTAATGAAAAAACAAAGGCTTTTGAATCTCCAAAATGAGAGGCATTCTTTGACTACCTGAATGCCTCTGTTTTCTACGAAAGTGATTGTTATGCAGCAGTGACTCACTGCCATAAAATCCCAGACAACATTTCATGTTCTCAGTGATTTTTATAGCTGAGATTTAGAGTCTGGTTCACTATTTCAGTGATCTGTGTGGGGCTAAATGCCCGTTTTCTCAAAATAGTAAGAAAATTTTCTCAGGATCGAAGATTTTAAATCCATGACCTCTTTACCAAAAGACTATCTTTACTAGCTTTGTTATTTCTTTAACAAAGGATTTTTAAAAGATTAGTACTTAATACACATATTCATAAATATTTTCTGGTACATACATTTGGAAGATATTGCATCAAGACTGGACAGGATATCCAGGAATGGTTGGCAGGTAAGCAGAGTAACTGTGGAATTGTAATTGACAGAAATAGTCAAATCAGATCAGAAAAAAGTTTCAATCTATTTCCCATCTCTGCAGCATTAGGGGAGAGTGCCAGAAATAGACCCGACATCCTATTTCCCTGAGAGTAAGATGAACAGTTTCCTCGGAGCTTTCATAGAAAATCCCATCAGAAAAACATCTGTCTCTGAAATTTCAGTATTTTCTCCACATCTCTAAGCCATTTTTACACCAAGCCAGATTCTTTAAGTTCTGTTTATCATTTTGGAAATTTTTGGAATCCCATGACCCTGCTCAGAGTGGCAGGATCTTACTGAATTTGAATGTTAAAAGACTCAAAGGAGTCCTAAACAATGGGCAAAGAGAATAATAACATTGTGAGTAAACAGAATCAAGTTGTTTTTGCCTTTTGTGTGTGCATTTTCGTGTGTGAACATCTGATAATCTTCATTTTCCTTTATTTAATTATGTAAATAGCAAAGAGAAGATCTTCCACCTAATTCAGAGCATTACAAAGTTATAAAGTCAGTTTATTTGAAGGGGAAAAGAAGGCGGCAATGCTAGAAATACCTGACAGCAATGAGATTTATTATGACTACAGTTTTAGGGGGAAAAAATTGTCATAGAAAGAAACCTCATAGCACCAACTCAGATGCCTAGGAAATCTTAGACTTTGTTTGAAACAGAAGATTATAGTAAAAGTTATCCCTGAATTACTTAATTTAAACCCTTAAATTTCTTTAGGGATGCTGGGAGTGGTGGCCCATGCCTGTAATACCAACAATTCAGGAGACTGAGGCAAGAGGATCTCAAGCTCGAGGCCAGTCTCAGCAACTTAGCAAAGCCCTAAGCAATTTAACAAAACCCTATCTCAAAAATAAAAAATAAAAAGGGCTGAGGATGTGGTTTGGTGGTAAAGCGCCCCTGGTTTAAATGCCTGGTACAAAAAAAAAATTATTTAGGGTTATCACAATTGAATTACAAACTTTCACTAATAATTTCAAGAATGTACAGAGTGGTTGCCTGACTTCAATTTTACTAATTACATTAAGCAATCATGCATTATGTGATAATTGGACATGACCTGAGCTAAGGAGTTGACAAAACAAATTGCAAATATAATATACTCATTTTTTGAGTTTTTTTATATTAAGCTACTTGAGTTAGAAGCCTTAAATGTTTTTCATATTTCTAAAATAAGTGTTTATCAGAGATCAAAGAAAATTATGACTCATTCCCAGGTGTGCTGGATTCATTCTGTCTTTAGTGGAACATTCTGCGATTTTTAAAAATGATCTATGAACACTGAACTAGTACATGGTCTCTCCTAAATGGCATGGCAACGTGCTCTGAAAACCGCTAACCTCATTAAAAAGTGATGAACAGATACATCAGCTTATAAATGTCATACCCATTTCATTTCCACATGCTTAAATACATTTTAAGCAGGGAAACCCACAACCTGAATTCTAAAGTAACTATCTCTTCATAAATTACTTGCCATATTTGAGCTAAATTTAGATCAGAACTCTAAACTATTTATGAGAGAAATGTCAATATGAAAGAAAGGGTATCTCATAATTTTCAAAATTGCCAGGATAGGTTAAAAGTCTTACTTAGAATTTTCTAGAGTTTATTGTTTTAATGCACCTCAGTGAAATACAATTTTGAGTAGTTTAGGACATGTATTTTCTTGATATAATCTACAGTGATAATTAAAACTGTCATTGAATCCAAAGGAATGTATGGGAAATTTATGAAATATTTCTCTTCCAAATACATTTTACCTCAACCTTTATTAGAAAGAAAATAGAAAGGTACAGAAAAATGAGTTAGATCTAGTAAGATCAATGTTGTCTGCACTTGAGAACACAGAGTAAGTGGAAGCGAGTTAGCCACTTATCCTTGATCTGATCAGGAGGCCTCCTGCAGAAGCAGCTCCCAGGGCAGCACAGAGGATGAGAGAAATTGCGAGATTCTACAAGATAGATGTAAGTGGAAATAAGGGACACAACAAACTGAAATCAGAAAGGTCTCCTTGGGAAATTCAGAGAATATTTTTAAGAAGTCAAGTGGTAAATTATTTTATCTAACTAAAAATGCCTTTGACCAGAGGAAATAAGCCCATCTCCACACTCCAGATGATTCTCAGCTTTGTAATCAGCAGAGCCATCACAAGGATCCATTTAAAATGCAAGACACATCATATGCTATCTCTTCTCCAAATTATCTATCAGTTTTCCTTCTCATTCAAAATGATCCCAAGTTCTTTCTAAAGGCCCACAGGTACAACTAGATCCTCCCTCATCCCCTACCACAGTGCCCTTATTGCCTCTTCTGCTCTACTTTCCTACCAAACTGGACTCCTCACTCATCCCATATCATGGGGAAGCCGAATGAGACCTTCAGTTTCCTGCTTCCTTCCTCTGTCCCCCTAGATTTTAGCACAGTTCACATCCACACCTCCCTCAGGTTTCTTACAATCTCAGTGAGAGAGGTGCCCCAGCTACTGTATTTGAAATTGCAATCCTCCACCCTCCACACTTACAATCCCTACCTTCTTTCCTGCTGTATTTCTCTACAGTTCTTATATTCCACAGACATTGTGTGCCATATATTTTACTTCCTCCAGACATTCCAACTAGTATATCAGGTGTATAGGGGCAGGGGTCTGTTATGTTTAGTGACTGCTGCATCCTCAGAACCTAGAAGAATTTCTGGCCAACAATAAGTGCCTAATAAAATTTTGCAGTGTCGATGAATTAACAAGAACCACAAATTCCATATTCTGGGAATATTAACACATCAACTATGTTTTGCTAATTCCTGGATGTCTCTTCTTAACCTTAAACTCCTGTTTGGACCAGCATATCCTGATACCATTTCACAGGCTCTATATCTCTATCTGTATCTTATTTGGAAGGTCAATGTCATCTCTTTATTTGCCATTCATCTAAATTCTCACCACCAAAATTCTACTAAAGATACATCTCTCCTTAGAAGTCTAACATTTCCAATATACCAAGTACATGCAATGTACCAGGTACTTTGCTAGGAGAGCACTGGATACAAATGTTTAAGAGAGAGTATTTTCCTTTAAGCAGTTTTCACCCAGTACAATTCAGGGATGGGTGTATAGTTATGCATTTCCTTCTCTAGCATTAACTTATCTAGTGACTCTTACCTGTGTAAACAATTTGGCTCCTGTGCAATATGTCTGTATGTGAATGTATATCCTCATTAATTAGTTCATTGTTTCATTCATTTAACAAATGTTTATGGAATCCCTTCCACATGCCTGGCACCATTCTACTTGCTGAGTGTCAGGCATGGGCCCAGGCCCAGGGAACAGATTCGGGATCCCAGGCATGGTTGAGATATTAGTCATCCTTTATTCAAAGATAGCAACAGCCTCAGGCCAGCCCCCACTCCAGCTTGAGCCCCTAGCCATTTAGCCCCAGTCAATTCCATTTATCCTAGTCAGTTCCATTTAGCCCCCAAGCCATTTCTATAAGCCTTTTTTATATGCAGGCAAGACTAAGAAGGCACACAGCCAACAGGTTATGTGTGTGGGTGCATGCTCGAAAGCAAATGTTTGTGACCTTGATTATATACACTGAATCAGAGTGCTTGTGACCTTGAGTACACACTAACCATAACATAACTGATTCATGACCTTGACTACAAGTTTAAAACAACCACCCCCCACCCCCAAGCCTCAGTGAGGAAACCCAACTATAGCCATTTGGGACCTGCCCCAATACTGAGGGTACCCATGAAGAAAATGGAGACTGTTTTTCCCCTCAAAGAACTCTTAGTCTAGTGGGTAGAAACAGCTGGTAAGTCATAAATAAATCTACCATATGTGTAAGTTGTACGAGTATGTATGAGCTGGTGATAAACACTATACTGAAAAATACAGTACAGCTAAAGAAACAAGGTAAATAGAGATAACTTACATTGGGGAGTCAACGGAGCCCTTATTACTTTCCAATATTTGAGTAGACCCCTAATGGGAAGTAAGGGAGTGGGGATATCTTGAGAGTAGTAACCCAGAACATGGGAGAATAAATGCAAAACAAAGCCTGGGACATGTATGCATTGTGTCTGCAAGATGACAGCATTGGTAAGGAGGGTGAGCCAAGGGGTGAGGAAATTGAGACAACAGGATGCAAGACCCTAGAAGGTCTTGGAGGATCTCTGATGTTTGCTTTCTGCCGCCCCAACTCCCCAGTAAAGTGCTTTGATTACAGAACAGATTTGTGTGTTCTTTAAGCTTTCTATGGAATGTCCTACGGGACCTTGTGCAGAATAGGTGTTTAATATCTTTGGCTGTGATGAGAAATTCCCATTTTTTTTAATACAAAAAAAATCTGCCAAAACCTTGATCTTCCTCAAATGAGAGCAATTTTCTTGTAGAAACCTGAAATGAATTGCAAACCAATTCAATTACCCTATCTGTTACAAATTCACAAAATTTAGGCCAGAAATAGAAGCCTCCCTAAAACTTATGACCTTTCTCTCTCCCTCTGTCACATTTCCCCAGAAATAACTTTGTCATTCAAATCTCTTTAAAAAAAAATTCTTAGTTTTTTTTAACTTCATAATCCTTACAATTTCAGAGGTTTTCAGCAATAAAAATGTTACACCCTTTGGCTCACTACTTTTTTCTTTTAAAAGACACACCATTTGCACATTCAAGTTGTCCTGGTGCACAAATATTAGTATATAGTCAGCCATCCACTAAGCAGGCATAGATGTTGATATAGGCATAGGGGAGGCAAAGACGAGGAACCATATCGCAATCGAGATTTACATTTGTTGAAATCAGAAAGTCCAGCCTGACTGGAAATCCTTTTACTAGCCAAGAGATTCCATTTATAAAAGAATAATGAGGTTAGTAACAAACACATAGAACCCTTGCAAAGGCTCTGAGAATTCATGTCAAGTGCTTATCATAGGCCTGTAACATAGTAAAAGCTCAATCAATATTAAATATACATA